ATCTCGGAGCGGGAAACGGGCGCTGCTTGTGAAAAACACATGCATGACGTACAGCAGTGGAGATGGCTGTCGTCTGAGATGGCCCTGGGCGCTTCTGGAGCCATCTCCATTTCCCGACTACCTCGCCCCGCTCATCTCACACTGATTAGCTTTCCGAAGCTGCTAAGTGTCACATTCAACTCCCCAGAGCAGTTGGCCATAGCAATTCAACGGTGGTATGAGATCAAGGGGAAAATGGGAGGACACATCCGACGCTGCGAAAGCAGACCCCGAACAATAAGGAGTCAGCATACTGAGGCTTTAATACGTCCCAAAGCTTCAGTGACACTAGAGCGATACAGTTCTGAGAATAACAGTCTGTGCCAACCAAGTGTCCTGCCTAAATCCATTGAAAAAACCACAACCGACCGGTTCCATTGGAATCGGTCGACTAGTCCCAACATTAAGTCCCCTACTAGCAGACAGCTTCACGTCAACTACCCCACAACACGCTGAGGTTGTAAGACTCACTGTCAGCTGCCTATATAGCAATGTGAGGGGGCTGAGAGGAAAAATAGGTGAACTCCGAAATCTCCAAGCACACCTACCACTGAAAGTGATCGTTCTCACTGAAACGTGGCTAACCCCCACTATCACCGATAACGAAATCAGTAAAGGTGATATGGTTCTGCTCAGGAGAGACAGGGATAATATGGCAGGAGGGGGAGTTGCTATATACTTTGACAGGTAACTTAAATGTGTGCGCGCAACGGACCCACCACTTTTTGAACTCCATTTCACCGTAGGCCACACCAAGCATTTACTGGGTGGCATCTACTGATCTCCCACCTGTGGGGCAGAGCACAATCAGCTACTGCTCAGCACTATCACAGGGATACGAGAATTGGGCTATGACCGAATCACCATTGCTGGAGATTTGAATACCCCATCACTGAACCTTGGCTCGGGGTATGCTAAGGGAAAATTCGGCCGAAATCTTCTGCAAACTATTCGAAACAGGGGACTGACTGAGGACGTTGGAGACGACACTAGGTGGGGCACTAGTGGAAAGTCACCAAAACTGGACTACATTCTAACTAGTGACCAACTACTCTTCGAAAAGGTCCAGATCATGACTCCTCTAGGAAGTAGTGGCTATGCGGTCATAGGTTTCGATCTCGTTCTCCGTGAGCAATCATATCTGTGTTACAGCAAGGCTGACTATGCTAAAATGCGGAGGCTCTTGTCCGACGCAGACTGTCCCTAAGCGTGGGATGAGCTCTCTTTGGATGAACACTGTGAAGTGGTAGAAAAGATTATTCATACAGTAATCTCGGATACCGTCACTTTAGTCACAACACAGCCCAAAAGAAAGTCATCATGGTTAAAGAGAGGCACGCAGCGTATTCTGCAAGCAAAGCGGAAGGCTTGGTTTACGTGGCGCGTATCTAAGAGTCAGATCGACCACGACGCATACCTGGAACTCAGGATCCGGCGCTGACGCAAATGGCGCAAATTGATAATTCTAGAATTGACCCCATTTGATGCAGTAAAACAATTTAACATTACCTTATCTAATTTTCGTATCAAAGATCAAATTTCTTTCCTATTATAAAACTACGATAAGTCTGCTGACAAAAATGGAATAAATACATTATTGACTCAAAATAATACATCAATAAACTTTATTTCACGGATGCTGTTCACAACAAAGTTTTATAGAATTGACTTCAAGCTTTATTTTTCCCAGATATTTGTATCACATTCATCTGAAGTCTGGGTTTTTCGTTAATGCGAAGACAATATTTCTATATCTCTTTATGTGTTACACAGACAAACTATTTTGCAGACTGTTCTGACTGACTCTAATGTTAGATTGAACAAACAAACTGTAATTTATATAATAACTTATCCATGCCTGTACAATTGGTATGTTCCTGCATAAACAGGAATAAATATATATATAACTCCTTGCAAACCCGAAAAACTTGTATCGATTCATGTCGAAAAGAAAATCAACCAGGGACATGCGCCTTAGTGGACCAAAACGGTCAATATCCCACTAGTCTGGAGGTAGCTGAAACATCCAGTTTAGCCTTCGCCAAACAGCTAAACAGCAATGTGGGTATTACCGTTACGGACCAAAATGGTGGCACCACTATTGCACAGGAGGAAGACCTAATGGCTACTCCCCAAATAAACCCTCCAATAGTACTAAGTAGGCTACAGTGACTCACACCTGTGAAGTTTCCAGGTTGTGACGAAATCAGGCCATCTGTTCTGAAACAGTGCGCCGAAGCTCTCTTTAGGCCCTTATGCGACTTGTTCCAACACTCCATGGAATCGGGGAAACTGCCAAGGGAATGGAAAAGAAGCATCCTTTCTCAGTTCTTCAAGGGTGGGGATAGACAAAATCCCACTAGTTATAGACCAGTAGCTCGACTCCCAGTGGTATCAAAAGTACTGGAAAGTAATATTGACGATCATATCAGGGAATATCTCGATAGGTCTAATATACTACATGAAGCCCAACACGGTTTCAGGAAAGGGAGATCCTGCGTTACTAACTTACTATCAGCTTGGGACGATTGGACATCATGCTGGGATATGAATGTTCCAATCCATATGGTCTTCCTAGACTTTGAGAAGGCACTCGACACTGTTCACCGTGACCTCCTCCTACACAAAATAAGCCAGGTAGGTATAGGTAAGCCAATTCAGTCATGGTTAAAGGACTACCTAGCTGAAAGGCAATTTTGCAATAAGGTCAATCGAGTCCGATCATCTTGGCACAGCTCGTCATCAGGAGTGTCACAGGGTTCTATCCTAGGACCACTGATGTTTTTGATTTTTATCAATTATCTACCATGCCGTCTTAGCTGTCCGACTCTTCTATACGCTGACGACGTGAAGATATGGAGGGCGATAAAGTGCCCGGAGGACTCAGATAGGCTACAGGAAGATCTAAGCCTTCTGGAAGACTGGGCGGTGGCCAGTGATATGACTTTGAATCTGAAAAAGTGCAAAGTAGTTAAGTTACGCACCTGTAGACTGCAGAATGCAAGTTACACCCTGTGCAATGAAAGCTTGTCCTGCTCAATATCGGAACGTGAATTAGGTCTAGTTTTAACGGAGAAAATGGACACAAGAGTAAATTACACGGGGGATGTAGCGAGGGCATATGCAGTCATACACTTTACACATAGACAGTTAGGTGCACTCACTCCTGAGCTCTTCTTAAGGTTGTACAAAACAGACGTCAGACTTCACCTTGGAGTGCATAATATTATTGCACCCCCACTGCTTAGAAGAGATGCAAACTTCTTGGAAAGAGTCCAACAACGGGCAACAAAAGGAGTGGTTGGTCTCCGAAATAAACCATATGATGAAGGGCTGAGGAAATTAGGCCTATTCACACTTAGCTACCGTCGTCTTAGAGGGGATTTAATTACTGCCTACAAAATAACAAATGATCAGAATCACCCAAACAAAGGTGTTCTGCCATTGATTAGGTATAGGCTCCCTCGTGGAAATCCTAGAAGGATAGCTCACCAGAGGGCAAGGACCCGGGTGCGCTCCCACTTTTTTTCATTGCGGGTTTGCCGTCCCTGCAATTCCTTACCGGCAGATGTAGCTATGGCACCATCTATGGACGCCTTTAAGCGAAGGCTGGACAACCATGCAGCAACACAAGGACTGCATCCAAATGGCCCATCTCCTTAAAATCGCATACACCATTCAAAGGTAGACAATTAAGCTGGTCGTTTTACTTCTTTACATTCTCTTCCGTCTTACTCTCCTGACAGCTTTAACTACACCATATTATTATTATCGTTATTATCTGTATATATATATATATATATATATATAAACCGGCTGACTGACTGTTGTTACGTTTTCTTATTCTTTTCTGTCTGTTAGTCTGAAAACCCTCACTAATTATATCTATTATTATTATTATCTCTTTTCTATTGACAACGATACCGAAGGACCAACTGGTGAAAGGATCAACTCCATTCACAGTATTAACAGTCTTAACACACCTTGTACTACAAACCATATATAATTAATCCCTGCACTACTCCTTTGAGAGTCAACCAAAGCTACGACAGTCGAGTGGCGGGACGAGCTACGCAGACGTTTACCGAAGATCAGCAACCTATACGCCACAATCAAGAGGCGAGCACAAAGAAATCAAATTGGTTTATACTAGCTCATAAAAACGACATTGGATATTGGAACACCCATCCTTCTCGACTTGAAATACAACGGGTGACAGGAACGCGAACTCAACTTTTGACGACGATGAAATTTTTGGTGACCGCCTCTACATCTTCGAAAGACAACTTCAGTCCACCGACCCTGAAGAGCAGCTGAGGTGACAAGTGGACCAATTTGTTGAAATTCGATGGCAGCTCTGTAAAAAGCGAAACTGGCGATGAAAAGGAATGCTTATTGAGTTTCATTTCAAAAAGCTGATGTTTGTAGCAAGAAGAACTTCTCCTTTCTGATCGGAAACATCAAGATGAAATTATCCAACTGCAGAGGGAGATCGATGGACTAAATAGTGAAAAAAGTATGTTACATTTCATATCAGGTTATCAAACGACTAGTTGAGTTAAAAGAGACAGAAGCAAACATTAAATATAGCAATGAAGAGTATAAATCGCTCATCAAAAATCTGGAAAACACTTTAGAAGACGAAAGGGTAAGAAGGTAAATAAAAAAGGAAAAAGATTTAGGCAATGAGAAAAACCGCTGCTAAGCTATTGGAAACCAAAGAAAAAGAAGATGAAGATCTAGTGTGTCTGCTTAACGAGCACCAAGAAAAATGCAGGTTGGGATTACAGTTCTTGTGACCAGGCGGACAAGTCACGATTTCACGTTAAGTCTATGATCGATATAATAAGCAATATGATTAAAAGCTTTTCCGTATTCCAGGAAAATCAAAATTTTAGGAATGAAGATATATTTAATATATTAAGGATAGTGAAAGGAAAAGTCGTTGAGTTGAACAAAATATTACACAACAGGTAATGAATAAAATGAAGTTGTTACATACTTAGATCACTGATTATGCGTGATTTCGAATCGAATTTATATTACATATATGGTAATTTTAAATTTAATATGATTTTTTGGCAGCTGATCCTGTGATGGAAAGTCAGCTCTTAAGTATTGATCGTGAAGACTCGGTAAAAAGATAAAATATTTCATAAAAACAATATTAGGTCATCCTGAAAAGAAAGGTCGCGGAACTAGAGAAGGAAATTGAATGCGAGTACAAAAGGCTAAATAACATGAGAGAAGCTCTTGAAAAATGTCAGATATTTAATCAAAAATTGCAGGTAACCGTTGATTACAAATTTTTTCATACTCTATGAAAGATTGATAACGATGAAGTGCATTCGAAACTGACGTCAGAAAAACAGAAGTACGCTGAAGCCCATGGGAATCACTTAAAGTCAGAGGCCTTGGTCAAACTTCTACAAGTAACAATGAGCTTTTTACGCCGTGTTTTACTCACAGGAACAAATGAAAATCACTAAAGAAGAAGTGAAGGAAATGAGAACAAAGGTCTTTGAAGTCAAGAAAGAACTAGAAGAGGAGAGGTATTTTTTAAAAGTCGGTTTACATGCTTATATGGCTAATTGTTCAAAATTAAAAGATAGTCTGAAGGCCTGCGAAACGAGATATAATGAACTGAAGTTGAGTGGTGGGGTAAACTGGAAAGCTTTAAACCTGACACATTCTGAAATCAAGGTGAATATGTGTAGATGTTTTCTGATAGTCATAAATTATTTTAAAATCATTTTCAAACTTCTATATACACGAATCCATTTGTGACTTCATTGTCGCCACTTTGATTACTTAGCGCATAAAGCCAATGCAATATAGAGAAGGTAAATCCAGTTTGTGGTTTTTTGAGAATGTATCAGTAACTACTTAGAAGAAGATACTGGGGGATCCATTAAATAGACTTAACTGATAATTGACATGGTTATGATTCAACTCTGCCAATGTAACTTATTTCATTCGTGCTGTAAACATGTTAATCAGTGAATCGACATAAGAATACTTCAGACTATGCTGAGCACTGTGCTTAGAAACCATTTTCGTTCGAAGTCGAATAGAAAAGTAAATTACAGTTTACAGTTTACAATTTATTTAGTATAGTAGGCTCTATGCCTGTGTTAATCCTTTCGATTTGTTACACACAGGAGGTCCAATCTCGCCTTGAATGAATCAGCGGATGACGCTGATACAACGTGTTCCGGTAGGGAGTTCCAATGGTTCACAATTCGATGCGAAAAACGGATCTCCAGACGCAGACGATTCGACCGTGGTTTTTGAACCTTGAGGTGATGTCCTCGCAATTGGTTGGTGCTAGAAGGAAGAAATAAATTAGATATATTAGCTCCAAAATCATTTCTTAGGATACTGTATGCTAGTATTAGGTCACCCTAAGTCGTCTGTATGACAGTGGAAATAAACTCAGTCGAGTTAACCTCTCCCCAAATGGGAATGTTGAGAAACCCTTTATTAGCTTAGTTCCTACTCTTTGCACGCTTTCTAATAAGTCTATTTCGTATTTGAAATTGTTCACCAAGCAGATATGGAATGCAGTTATGAGACTAAGGCTTGGCGGAAACTCGGCTAACTGAACCAGAATCGAAGTCTTTACAAACGTGACAGCACCAATACGCTTCTACCATTATTTTCAGCAGATGATGGGGTGAAAAATGATTGACTAACCAGAAGTGGCTTTTTATCAATTGAAAATAGAAAGCTGATTGGATGAAAATAATTTTTTGCAATTAGTATTTCTTACTTGTATACGCATACAAATAAGTGGGGAAAATAAACAAGCGGCTTTAAAAAATTCTGAAGGTGATAAATACGGACTGCTATTATCTGACGGAATAACTGAATTGTCAGAGGATGAAGGTTTATTCACCTAGGTTCGTATTCTATGGCGTTGTCAAACGAAACGATCTTCTAAACAACCAAAACTTAATTGTTCCTTCCATAGATATAGTTAATAATTCATCTTCGAAATTGTTACACTTACCAGAGAAAATAAGCAGCGGCAGTCATTAATAAATTGCGAATCTAACTTGAATAGGCTTTCTAATAGGCGGGTCGGATGTCTAGTAGAAGACACGAGTACATTTTTTTCAAGACATATGTACGCTTTATTGTACTTACATCAATTCCTTTTTCTTATTATCAGAAGAACTTTTCGCAGAAATTTGTATTTTGTCTTTATCTCAGATAGCTTGTTTAATAAAACATGACGACAGTAGCCAAGAAACAACCACACAGTTTAAGACGTCCTAAGAGCTTGAAAACCATATCGTTGAGGTTGTCAGAATTTACATAGGTTTTAGATAAATAACCTTCATTTCAAAGTGACTCCTTCACAAAATATCGGTGCTTTTATAGGATCATTGTAGCATCCTTTTTTCTTTTAATAAGGTAATACTTCCACTAACACTGTATATCATACTGAACGGCAGTTGAGTATTCATAACACATGTCTACTCAGTTCGATCAGGGTAACCTGACCGATATATATATGACTTGTGCTTCTTGCTCAAAATTATGCTTATAATGCTAGCATGTCGTTATGTGATTCCACCAAACCGAAACGGTGTCATAAAGACGAGCAATCTTTGAGACTTCTCGTATCCCCAGCACCCACTCCCTACACATAAAGAATGATGGACGGCAATTCTATACCAGGTAGTTTCTATTTAACAGACAGATGGCTGTCTTACTGACAACACAAGTGATCTCAGTTAGGAGATACCCGGTAAGAGTTTGTCTTCACACTGCATACCTGAAGATACTGGGGTCACTTGGAAGGCTGTAGTACGAAGTAGTCATCATATCTAGTTTTTACACTGTCAATTTTTGCATTATTTGAGAATAAAGGTCGATGTTGCATGATTTCTTTCAGCTAACATATATAAAGCAAGTGTCAAGTAGATAAAATTATTCGCTAACTCTTGAGAGAAAACCTAATATTCTCTTGTACTATAAACATATAAAGTACGCATCCCCCATCTGTTCCTTGAGAAAATCATATAATTTCTAAATGGTAGTGCATGATATTATCCATCAGATTAGAAATGTAATGTTCGGAGCGGAACGTGTCTACGCAGACATAAGCCATTGAGGAGAAATAGTTTTGG